TAAAGCACCGTGGGTCCGAGAGGACTGAAATTTCATTTGTGCTGTATGTCGTGCATGTATAGCACATCTGACAATAAAGTTGACTTGACTTGAAATGGGGGGTTGGTGTAAACAACAAACTGCAACACAGTGAATGCCTTTTGAAGAGAGACAGTCCAAGTGTGCTGGTTTATACTCATACCAAATTGTACAATTCACTGTACTGAGACAAGGCACACAAAAGACAGAATTCTTGGAAGGAGATCACAAAGGCAGTGGGAGGCAGCCAGGAGGAGGAGGCTATGATGGCAGTGTGGCCATTCGGCGCGAGTATAAATACTTTGTTTGTTTCAAGCATACCTTAAAAAAAGTACGTATGCCACCAATTTAGCACAGCATTTCTGTAACATTGCCAGACTCAAGACATAAAAAGAAGATCAAAATCGCTGCAGCAGAACAATATCGTCCTTTTTATTCCATGCAATCGTCTTCCTTGTCGAAACCTGCCGCCTAAATCAACCACAATGCAACTTCACCGCCAAAAGAGACAGCAGTGTTGTGAATTCATTCTAATACTCGCATGTTAATGTTTAGATTCTCTCATATTCACTTTGTGAAAACAACAGCAGCAGAGAGATTTGTACTAGAGATCCATTTTAAAACATCATGAAGAGGATCACCTTTTCACTGTTTTGAAAAGGTAAATCTAAGCTAAAGCATAGCCCTCTGTCTATGAAGACACCACACATACCTACAGTGTCGGTACTGAAACACTTTTAATATACTTAAGTATACATCTGTCAGTGAAGATGAGTTAACGCTTACCATGATCCTCTGAAATAGTAGGTTTGTCACAAGATGTTGCACTGTCGTACTCTTGACCACAAGAGTCTTTTGAAGACGCCGCTGTCTCTGCCAAGCTCTCTGACCCTTTACAACAAGATGACTCCTTTTCTTCGCTTTCTGTTTCATCCTCTTGCTTTTCATCAAACTTGAGCCTCTTGACCTCATGCTTGTCAGCCTCAGAATCCTCCTCCTCCGGGTGTTTGTTCTTTATCCCGCTGTTTGGTGCAATTTCACCTTCCGATGGCGAGGAATCACTGCAGTAATGACAGACACACAGGAAATCGGTTCATCAAATGTTATACTTCAGATTAAAGCTATTAGTACCATATGTATTCAAGTCAAGTCATGTCAAATTTTATCTATATAGCCCAAAATCACAAATCATAATTTGGCTCAGGGGGCTTTACAATCTGTACATTATTCAACACTGTCTCTCCTCAGACCCTGGATTCGGTTAGAGAAAACCTCCCCCAACGGAGGAAATGTCTGGGTTTGACATATATTATCAGTGTCCCTGCATTTTAAATTACAAAAATATTGCATAGACTAACTCAGTATACTATATACTCATTCCCAGTGTCGTATATGTACCATTCTTATTTCAGTCACCTGATATGGTGCTCCTCCACCTCCTCTGTGGTTGGCTCTGGCTGTTTACTGACAGGACAGTCAGGAAGCCCGTTGGTCGAAAGCGAATGACAGCTTGACAGCTTTGGTCTGTTGAGCGGTTTTGGTGTGCCTGGTCCATTTACATTTCGACTGCAAAAAAAAAAAAAGAAAATGACCACGCATGTCATATCACAAGATGGCAAATCAGCAGAACTACTAAGACCCAAACTGACAGGTAAGACATAACTGCCCTTACTATATAGCCTTGTTGGTTTTTGGATATTTGGCTCTAAACTAATTCAACTTTCCACTTGTTGGTGTATGAGGTTATTTTAGATTTGTGGAAGTCAATCACTGACAAGTATGTGGCTCCCACCTGTCTGAATATAGAGAAGAGTTACCAGGAAACATCACTCCATTCATTCTGTTTACACTGGATGCCCCATTTTTCCTTCGAAAGAAGTAGAAAGGCACAAAAACAACTGGCTGTTAATTGTAACTTTGTAAGTGTGACTGAATAAGCAAATTCAAGGGAGCTGTCAATGTGCATCAGAAGCAGCTTAACAGAAACACTGCAGCCAGAAGAGCAAGGGGAGCAAACGCTTAAAGGCGGATGTACTTACTCTGACGTGGGGTACACACAGCTGACCACCATTACGTTCTGCAACACATAAAAAATAATATATAAGAATTCCATTTAAAGACAAGAAAAGTTTGTTTAAAACAACATTCGTAAATATTGTTTATGAGTGAAAACATTACAGTGTGTGGACTTTTACATAGGTAGTGCTCACCTTCTCTAAACCCATGAGAAACTTGTCTGTTCCTGTATAGTTGCGCTTGGGGTCCGTGAGGAGTTCACACAAACGCTGGATGGTAAATGGGATTCTAGAAATGTTATCAGGAGATATATTTAGGATGAGTCACACTGCAAGCATCAGCACTTGCTAAACCTGGCAGCACTGGAGCTGAATGAAAAAGAAAAATCAATCTGGACAGACATGGTCAACCCTAGTCGCAGCTGGTCACAAGTTCTGACATGAACAATTAATGATGATTGTTTTTCAGCATAGTGCTTCTTATATTCTGGAGGGAAGGTTTACACAATAATATGTTTTATTGTTAAAATGGTAGGTTTAACTCCAACTCATGCACCAAGAAGAATAGCAGTTGTTTCCTATTTGTTCTGCTATTTCAACTAAAGTAATTGTTGACTTTGCGTGTGAAAGAGCTGAAAGTAATTTTGCTAGGTGGAAATTCAAGATTTGGTTTGAGAATGAAAAGTGTATATGCAAATCTGTTTTTGGGAGAGCCACATGCAAAACATTAAGTACAATACTGAAGTGGAGGAAGTAACACGACTCTGGCAAATAGAAACAATGGTTCAAATGGTTGTGATTGTAGCTGATTTGATTTCGAAGGCCTTAATATTATCATTTGTTTTTAGATTTAATGCACACAAAAACATCAGTTGGTTATGTTTTCATCCAGTTGATAACATAAGGGGAAGAACAATAATAATGTGGTGGACAGACATTAATGTATACATATAACTTAACTGTTACATTATTTAGTTTTGCATATAGGGTCGTGGGGAAAGATTTCTTTGTCATTTGCGCAGTTGCTTATTATCAGCTTTACTCACCCATTGTAACCATCCACTATTTTTAAGATCCTCATCTTCATCTCTTCGAAGGGAACATAGTCTACATTGGGATTATGTGGTCCTCTCTGTTCTGGTGTTGAAGCGTGGAAATCATCCACTACTTTTTCCAACTTAAACATGAAGTACGCTTTGAACTGTGACCACGGGATCCTGGAAGATATTGAAAAAGCAAGTTTGCATGTCATACGCACGAAACAATGAAAAGTCTTGGAACATATTTTTACATAAACGCTGATCAGAGCGACACGATTTGCAAGAAAACGCATTTCAGTATTGCTGTGGGTGAAGTTTTTAATGTTGAGAATATTTTGTGTAAGCCTTTGTGGACTACTCACATTGGTTGCCCTGTCTTGGCCACATGACACAAGAATTGCTCTAGAACAGGACAGGTCTCTTTCTTCCCTTTCTTCTCAAAATCTGTGAATACCCACACGAAAAAACAGAGGAATTAGTTCATTAGAAATAACGTTATCACAAACAGCACACATATATGATGCCATTAGATCAAAATACCCTTTGTACCTGTATTAAGCTTAACTTTAAACTTAAAGTTTTAAAAGTAGCCCCGCAGCATGTGACTATTGGAGAACAATGCATTCTGTCAATAATTATTCTAGAAACATGTTAAATCCCGCTTAGTTTCAGGATACTTCTGGCACATTAATTGCACATTAGCAATGATTAAATGATTGCACAGTGTTAAATATCAGCTGTGCCAAGTGAAAACATTCTCGGCGAGGAAGAAAACCAGTTAATTGCCACATAATAAAACCGCCAAACACCAGTTTCAGTTAACTAACTGGAAAGTTCTTGCAAAAGTTGGTAAGTTAGCATGTTTATTGTGACGCTACCCAGCTAGCTGTTTACATCATCTCTAACTAACAGAAAGGGAATAAATGGGTCAAAAGTGAAAACTGCGACCAACTCCTTCCTTGTTGCAAATAACATTTAACTAACTAAGACGGGCACAGACAGACCAGATTGCTCCTTAGACGTCTCTTTCTGAACGATAGTCGCTGTTAGTAAGCTAAAATACGGTAACATACGTAACGTAGTTAGCGAACAGTGCAGATTTTCCTGAAGGCGGGAAAACAAATGTCAAACCCCTTCACTAATGATCAATAATCCATTTAAATATCTGTAAATATTGCCTTGGAACGCTTCCAATAGCGCGTCGATGTCCATAGCTGTGTCCAGTCACAGGCAGGAAATACTTGCTAGTTAGCAGTAGCAGGTAGCAACCCAACAAAGCTGCTGGCGGCGCCGACTGCGCATGTCTACAAAATTACGTATTCGCATTTGCGGAAGATGCGTTCCAGTTCAACCTGAGATCAACAAAGCACTTGAACGCACCCCCCCTCGTAGCAAGAATTGGAGATATTGCTTTGTTGTCAGAGTGCAAATAGTTATATTTTCAGTTAAAGCATGTGCACACTCCAGTGACAGAAACTTCTGGGTCGCTCTGGTGGGCTGTAGATGCCGCAGGCAGTCGGCGGGCGTCATCGTTGTTCTGTTGTTGTGACGGCGCAGACCGGTGAAGCGACCAATGAGTCAGCAGCTGGTCGGGGTTAATTTTACCTAACGAACCTATATATAACGATAGCAGCCCCGGTGGAAAACATCTGATTTTTCTGACGAAGTCCTCCGCTTTACAGTCGGTGACCATGGCAGTCCCAGTAGCTGCGTTACCGCTGAGAACATCACCGAGCAGCAGCCCGGTTCTGCTGGAGCACAACATTCACATCAGCGACAGAGATTTGGAAAGGATTTCAAATGACAATGAAAACGACACTTTGCCTTTACATTCTCCGTGGACTTTCTGGCTCGATAGGTAAGACGCTGCTGAGTTGTCCCCCCACCACCACCAGCTTCCATCGTTATATTATTAATCTTTAGCCAGTGTCAAGTGGGTAAAACTCTTTGTAGCAGCTGACCTTTTATTGAGAACAAAGAAGGGAGATGACGAGTTTATCAGGGCCTGCTGTAAGTCAACCCAGGTATCGTTGTGTTTAACAACGACACAGAGGTTGTTTGTCCTAATAAATCACAGAAAATGGCCTGTTAATGGTGTTGAGGCGCCTTTTCTGCCAACTTGTTTTTCCTCTCTGACCTACATACGCAAGTCCTCTACTTGTAGAGATTTTAAAATAAACAAAAGGGGTGTGAATGTGAATGTCTCTCTTATGGCTAAACATAATGACTCCACTTGATTTCAGTCCAGGTCACTTTGAGTTCATCCTTTTGCATTTACTTGTATTTTTATGAGCCCAGGTGTTATTGTTAAAAAACTTGTTGAGTCATTGCTCATATGTCTCTTGCCTTTGTTCAGTGTAGCACTCCCCCCCTGCTGGATTATGCAGGTCAAACTTGCCACTGTTATTCTTTATATTATTATAGAAGTCCCCAGTGTAACATTCAGATGTTTTCATAAGAGTGATTTCAGAATGAATCTTAATTAATCACAGCAGAGTTGAACACAACAAGTGAGTTACATAAGCTTAATCATCCACAGTGTGTACTGTACAAATCAGAGGCTGTGTTCAAATGGGGTCAATGTTGTTTACTGTTTACTGACTTATTTGTCATCTGACCCCCACATCCCCCCACCGGCTTGTCTGCTCAGCTCACTGAAACATGTCTGAGTAATGTAGCACTGATATGAATGTATTTAGAAAATGTCACATTAGAGGAGCTGAGATCTTTACAACCCTTTTTTTTTTTTAAAGCGGCAATTAAAATAAATGCAGTTTAATTAAATGTCTGTGTCTGGTTTTTGTCAGATCTCTACCAGGAACAACAGCAGCTGAATGTGAGTCGAACCTGAAGAAAATCTACACCGTGGAGACCGTCCAGGTAAGATGCTTTACAGTCTTGATGCAAGAGCACAGCTATAGCAAGCACAGCATTGGCACATTCTGCCACAGATGTTCAATAACAAGTGTCCTTATTTAAACTAAAATCAAGATTATGTGCTCTAGAAGCTTCTCCGTCTCTCAAACGGACCAACACATGATGAGCTGATGAGCAGTATGCAGGGTTTAGTAGTTGCACTGGCTAGTAGCATCCCTACATGCTGTGATACAAGTCAAACTACATCATCAGGCTGAGGTTCAATAACATTACACACAGCATTTTCAAGCTGTTTTGAGATTATGCTGGTGTTACCATTATTGTTTGGGGGTTTTCTTTCCAATTCCGTCAGCACAATGCGTCATTTCATGTGTAATATCACTGTGTTCTATGTTTGTTGACATAGAAACATAATAATATAATGCATAATAATACCTTAAAGAGCTCAAGGATTCATAAATTAGTTTGCTTGTTGTTCAGAGCAATAAGGAAAGGAGTCTTGGCAGTGATTTTCTACACCATAAAAATGTGAAATATTAACAAGGCCAGCTGTCTGTGCTCCCAGTGCCAGTTAATGTTCAATAAAATAACCTGTTTCCTCTGTTCACCTTGGCACTGGAGTAGAACTTTTGGAGAGTTTACAACAACATACCCGGCGTCTCCAGCTTGCCACTGAGATGTAGTTATCATCTGATGAGAGGCGAAAGAAAACCACTTTGGTAAGTTTAATTCATTTTTGTATGTATATTATTTGAAGCAGTTTCAAATTGTCTTGTTAGACTGTCACCTGCTTTTTGTTTTTCATATAGGGAAGAAGAAAGCAATGCTAAAGGTGGTGTTTGGAAGATGAAAGTACCCAAAGAATGCACTGTGAGTTACATAGTCAAAAGTGTTTATTATGTATTATTTGCTCATCAATTATTTACTATTTAACAAATTTGTCTTCATATTTACAGTCTGTTGTGTGGAAGGAGTTGCTGTTGGCTACTATTGGAGAACAGTTCAGTGATTATTGTGCCTCAGGTAAAGTTCTTGATTTGAGTTATGATATAAGTGCAGTGGTTTTAGGTCTTTTATTAAAATGGCTTTCCTGTAATATAAACACAATACTTGAAATCTGAACACACTAATCTCATTGTCTGTTGCTGTTCTTGCAGATGATGAAGTAGTCGGGGTCAGCGTCAGTGTAAGAGACAGAGAAGATGTCTTTCAGGTCTGGAATGGAAATGCTTCTTGTGCTACAGAGTCAAACATCTTAGGAAGGATCCACGAGCTCCTTCCACAAATACCTTTTAAAGCGGTGTTTTACAAACGTGAGTATTTGCTTGGATTATTAACAATGATTTGTTTATTAAAAATGTTTTTATTTAATGGATTAATCACTTTAACCATAAACTCTGAGTAATTGTTTTTTTGCTTATATTTCAGCACATGAGGAGCACCACGCTTTTGAAGGAGGTAGATCAAGACACTAGAGATATACATGTTTTTTTGCTTATGACCATGTTTTGGGTGATATCTGGACACATGTTTAGTTCGTACAGTAGTTGCTTAATGTGTCATCTTAATTACCTCAAAATGTAGCCCATGGATTATGAATCTCAATCGATGGTGAGTCCCATCTTCTGAGCACTGCTGTCATTCATAACAATATCCAAAATACTTTTATTTTAGTCGAAAGCAAAAAGCATTTTAGTTTGATTTTATCTATGGCAGTGTTTGTATGTTTTATACTGTAGAATTTAGCAAAACCAAAAACAGCAGATCATGTACAGTCAGATTTAAAAAAAAAAAAAGTATTTTGTGCAGTTTCCTAAGCACAGACAAAGCTAGGTCTTTGAATCAAATCTCATTTTTGGATCTAAGAGGAGGCCTAGTTCCATAAACCTTTATCTTAACAATACATTACAAGGCTTTTTTAGTCAGCTCCTTTCTCTGTTTTGTATGTTACTGCCAAAATACTGTTGCCTATACTAGAGAACGTAATTGTTTAGTATGCTGTAATGCTAAAATATGAGCAAAAAATTGCACATTCTTTTTTTTATTTTCTTCTTTAGGATACGAGTGGATTGTGAAAGAAATATTCTTGTTACTATAAAATGACCTCAGTACACAAAACATCATCGGTAGATGCTGAGAAATATATGCAATCATTTCTATTTTGTAGAATTTGCAGCAAATTTGCAGTGTTGATGTAATATTGTTTAAGCATCTGTCCTAAATCAAGCACTTTGTTTCTTACTGTGTGTTTAAGACACCAGATAGTAGAGTAGTGATAACTGAGACCAAATACACCTTGGTTTTGTTAACTTTTTTTGATGGACAAAAAAGCTGTTTTGTTGAATTTGTTTTTGGTTTCATTTTTCTGCTTTTAATAGTAACTGAGTGAAGATGACAACGTTGAAATTGTGTGGGGTTTTTTTTATGTGTTCATATGACCTGTGTCAAAATGACATTTGTGAAACCCATCCTTTGTAGATAATATTGGCCCTAGGAAAAATTATGAACAATAAACACATGAAGCCAGAAAATCTATCACGGGGAGAGACAAAAAAAAGAGCTCTAAATCTTGAGGGAATGCTTTGGACCTTTTTTTAGTGTATTTGTACAAATAATGAATATTTGTTGAAGTGATGCAACCACGGCAGCAGGGTCAAATCAGTATGAAACAAGCTAATCAGAGAGGTTTACGACTGTTGTGCCATAACACTTTCAATGTCTCTCAAATCCATGTGCTTTTAAAGTTGTTTTTTCTGTGGTGTTGTGATGTGAACGGCTGTATTTGTATTGAAAATCATAATCACATTAGTAGTTATTGTGTTTATGTGTGAGGGAGAGTATGAGTGAGGGAGTGAGACTGACTATTCTAGACTGCATAGAGTAGAGCAGATATTTTTTTTTATATATATATATATATACATTTGAGATAATTTATATGTAGCTATGGAGTATGCATTGAAACCCACAGAAAGACTGCTGCTATGATTTCTTAATCAAATCAAATGTTTTTGCTGAAGACTATTCACAGGAGGAGATGGTTTTCAGACCACAAACTCTGCCAAACTTGCTTGATTTTCCCTTTATTCTCCTGTTGTCCATGTGTTTATGTTATAAGCACATATAGGATAAGTAAAAAACAATAATGTACCCTTGCACTTACACAGTTTACCACTCATTTCAGATCTCAGACTTTGTAACTGATTGTTGATCTTGGATGGTGCCTTGTGTTAACCAGCAGTTTAGAATGTCATCTGTGTTCAGCATGTTGGACTTGTATATAGTCATGTTTCTGTATTAGTTTTACACGTGTTTGAGAAATAAAGACGCCAAAACGTTCACCTTTTGATGTTTGGAAAACTTACTGTTTTGTGTCTTGAGAATATCAATATTGCATTGAATAAAAAAACAGCATATTACGTTGGACCTTTTAGACCCTGTTTTTTTATTTTTAGAAAAGATAACAGGCTGTTCATTGACAGTCTCCAATGTCTGCTGTTAGATTCAAAGATGTGTACATGGATTTCATAATTTTTCCTTCCCACTAGGTTTTTGCAGCAAATCATACTTAATATGTAGATAATATTAAAATGCTGGTTACTCTTAGCATTAACTATAAACATGTATTAATGACTGAAAAGTACTTGGGTGAAGCAGGAGCACATGGACAGCTTTTTCTATATATGACGGCCTACTTTAATGTCACAAGTAAAGTCAAAAGTAGGTCAAATGATCACTGACAACAAGGTGCAACACATCATGTAGTTCCCTATCTAAATTATGAATGAAATGAAATAAATGGAATTATGCAAATTATCAAAATAAATACGGAAAAAAATTATCTACAAAAAATTAATCCTACAACATGGCCACAGGTCAACAATGACTGTGGATTTCTAACTGGGGCACTGAAAGGCCTTTATGTCATAAAGGCTCATGCACATTCAGGAGTAGGCCACCATTTCATGACGGCCAGGAAGAAATTGTGTCCCCCTTGTGGTTGCTTCAAAGCATAGACATAAAAAAATTGTTTACAAGAAGGCTACATCTGGAGCAACACAGTCTTGTCCTTACAATGTAATTGCACATAGAAATATAATTACATAAAGATTATTGCTCTGACCATCATTATTCAGCACCGTGGGTATCAGTCTGCCTCTATACACTTAACATGTCCACACTAAGCAGGATGCTTGTATTGAGCTACATTGGATTGTACAAACTACATGAAAAGTCTTTTTATTCTTACTCTGAATGCTGAGTGATGCAGTGAGTGAGTGAGACTGAGATGCATGCCTCCCTGCGTGCATCGGGTTACTGTAAGCTTTACTTTGATGGGGGATGTCAGAATAGTTTTAAACAAGTAAATGATTCATAATATCACATCAGAAGTGATGATTCAGGGGATTTCCCTTCCCTCATAGAGTTAATCATTCCTGTCACACAAATGTTTTAAATGGATAGAAGATTTAATGTTATCCAGGATGGACTCAGCTGAAACCACATTAAGTTGTGACATATGTAGGTTTTCATATCGTTATGTTTTTGTGTTAAATAAATTTTCGTTGTCAATTTTTAATGATGTCATATATTTTCCTTTTAGCGGGTACTTTAACATGAGCAAATCAATAATATGCATAATTCTCTCCCGGTTCTAGCCAGTCGCCCTTGCAAGATCCATGTGGAAATGATCGATTTCATTTCGGAGCTCACTCAATTGTATCTGCTCTCCAGTGGATAATATCGATATCGATAATAGATGATTAGTTTAACTCCTGTCTTTCATTCGGCTTTTCTTTTTTAACTGCCAGTTTACAGAGGGGTCCTTTAGCACACGAGCTGTCAATGTGACCTTTTTCCACGACATAAAAAAAGAAAACAGAAAGAACAACGTTTCTCCGGCTCCGCGTCGCATTTCCAGGCGATCTGAAACGGTCTCGCGTGTGAACGTGACGTCACCATTGTTTACTTTTACTTAAGCCACGCCCTCTGTTAGCAACTTGTGGCTAGCTCGCTACCAAGGAAGCCACTGCTCCGAGGGTCCATCTACAGACACCACCCCGACTCCGAGGACTGTCCGCCCGCATATAAGTCGGTGAGTAAACGTTCATCCGACAACGCGCCCACACCCGCTGAATGAATATTGAATGTGACGTTAGGTTCATTGGGATTTTGTCGGGTGGCAAAACCGTAGAGACGAGAGAAACGTTTCTTTCAAAGCTAGCGTCAGGGCAGGCTGCTAGCTTTTGTTGTACCGTTCACGTAAACGCCACCCGCAAGGCTGGCTCGAAAACTGTTTTGCAGTCCAGCTAACGTAGGTTAAAAAAAAATATACACTACATAGTGAACATGCTAACCTCCAAACGTCCCGTTTTCTCCCTAGTTAATGGTTCAAGTGCTGAACGCAAACCTCGGACCGCAGTGATAGCTGTTAACGGATATCGGTGCCATTCATATCGCGTTAGGCTAACTGAATGGCTTATTGCGTTGCTATAACGCTAATCAACAACGTTCATTCAGAATTTGAAGTAAAACGTTTGAAGGTGTTGATTGTGAACTGGCGGGCTGTGTTGTAGAGGTTATAGGTGTACGGTGACTTAAGGTAATGTGAGCGTCTTAAAATGTGCCCCGAGTACATTGTTGAACACAAATAATAAGTTTGTACAGTATTAAGTCAAACCAAGATTTTGAATGATCAGTGATGATGATCAATTGGACACTGAAGACCAAATAACTGATTGAGTGCATCATAAACTGATATATCAATTAGGGCTTCCATCCAGACAAGGTGTAGTTGTAAGTTATATACTTCTTTATTTATCTTTATAAATTGCTGATATTATAAATCCTCAAGAAAAAACAAGAAAACAAAATCCAAGTTTATTCTGATACATTTAATATCAGTAGCATTCCTATCCACATGTTATAAGCATGTGTAAACATCACTGATTTAAATATATATTATTTAGCTATTTGCATTGGTATATTGGCGTGTAACAATAAACATACAAACAATATAAAGATAAAACAGACATTATGAACACTTTGACTGTTTATTTGATGATTTAAATGAATTAAAGAAGAGCTGTACAGTTTGTCATCGTGCATCTTTTGATGATATCAAATAATAGCTTATGTGTGAAACCACTTGTCAGAAAATCTATCCTTGAGGCAGAGGGTGTATATTGTTTACTCTTTCTTAAGGAAAAGGCCTCTTTGCGGTGTTTCCTTTACATCCTTTTGAAGAGTGGTGGCCACCACAGCTGGAGAGCTGCCTCTGTGGTGAGAACACTTTAAATACAGTAAAAATGAATCACGGGCTTATTAAAACAGCTGCACTGAAACACAGCTGTTAAGTTATCATAATACTGCACTAACCACATAATATCTGTCTTTTAAAATAATGCACAATGGACCTGATGCGGACTCAGTGGTCAGCCGGGTTCTTGCGACCAGAAGCACCCCTGACATCTTCAAAAATGTCTGAAAGGAAATACTGCCCTTTGTCTTCAGAACTAATCCGGATCCTGAAAGCAAAAGTAAACCGAGTGTGAAAACTCACCAACAACTGCCTGTTTTTGATTAGATACGTTTCAGTTTTAGATGAATCAGTTTAAACTAACTAAGTTATGACTTGTCTATGAATGACACGTTGCTGCTAGACATAACTTACTACCCAGTAGTCACGTATTAGTCATTTTCAAATGCAGGAAACCGTGCCTCTTTCCTTCTTTTAATTTGTCTGTAGCTAACTGTTGGTACAGTTTTTGTCATGAGTTTGTCTAGTGCACGTCTAATCAGATCATCTGTCCGATGTTGCCTAAATGTTGATGTTGGCTCCCAGCGATGCCTAACTGATTGATTGATTTCAGTATGTGAATTTGATAGTTGAGTAACTCTAAAAATAATGACATTATCCTCGAGGCTGTGTGTTTCTTTCATGGCTTTCTGTGTAGGTTTCCATCTGCTCGCATTATTTGTTTGCCTACTTTATTTACCTTTGTTTATGCTGCTTAACGTTTGACTCAAACACTCCCAAGCTGTATACATAAAAGCCTACTTGTGTATTGTACTACCTGCCACAGCCGTTTATCGCACCACCTGGTTAATGGTAAATTGTTCCAGAAGGAAGATATGTTTGCACATAAACACGGACCCAGGGCCCCTGTGTTTACAGTAGTCATGGCAGCACTCGGTTATTCAACAAATAGACCTAGCATGTTCTCTCTCACTTGTAGAAGAGAATGTTTGTCTTGGAGGGTAGAGCTTTAACATTGTAGCTCTTAACTTTTAGTGCTGTCACTTAACACGACTTAAGTTTCTTTGACATGCTGCACGAGTGCATTATTGGATTATTTCAGAGTCTGCCGTGTATTGTTACGCTTTCTCTCGGAAAATGGACCTCTTATCACCTTCTCGAGTAAAAGCCTTGTCAAACACATCCAAATAAATGGCACTGTGTTTGTCTGCACCCTTTATGTGATGATAGCTTTCTGCTTTACCCTGTTGTTTTCATTTACACTTATTTCCTTTCTCAGTTCAGTGAAGTCCAGATGCATGAGTCTGGGTCAGAACCAACAATCCACGCCATTCCAGCAAGTCAGACAGAGAACGGGAATAATACTGAGAATGCGAGTCGACTGAGGAGCAGCCAGACTCCTCCTCCAGAGGCACCCCGGGTCAGTCATTTCCAGCTGCATCCGTACAACACAGTAGCATTACTTCTTAAAAGCATAGGTTTTTTTCTGTTGTTGTTTACCAATGCTGTAATATATATATAGTGCACAGTCTTTGTATATTCAGCAAAAATATGACATGATTACACCAGACATGCATAGAGCTGAAATGGTTTGTCCATGTATTAATTAGTAGATCAACGGAAAATTAAGCTCCATCTTTTTCGGTAGTTGATTCAAACATTTCCAGGCTCCAGCTCTCCGAGTGTGAAGATTTGTGGCTTTTCTGTCTCACATGATAGTAAACCTATAACGTTATATACCTTTGCACTTTGGACTGTTGGTGGGACAAGGCAAGTACTGTCATTAAAGATGTCACTTAGGATTCTTGGAAATTGCGATAAACAATTTTTCAGTATTCTCTCACACTTTATTGACCAAACAAATGATTGGTAAATTAAGAAAATAATCTCCAGCTTAACCAATAATGAAAATAATCTTTAGTTTCAGCACTATTCAAACATGCTTGTTTGGGGAATTTGACGTCTCTTGATGTAGTGGGATATAGTACATGTTATAGCTTATTGTTGATATTGTTATTATTTGATATGTCGAGATTGTAACAAATGAGTGGTGAAATTAAAAAGAACAAATAGTCTTGCATAGTCAGGATCTCGGACAGCAAAGTCTTGATTTCAGACCATTTTTGATGTTAAAACTTGGACCCAGTGAGCCATTTGAGACTAGCAG